TCTAATTGGGTTTGTTTGGTATATTCTATTTAATTTTATAAAAACTTTTGTATTATGTATTTCTTTTAATGTTGTACACCGCCCCGAGTCCTTGGGAGAAAGGCGGCACATAAATCTAATAAACCAAACCAAACCAACCCCCCCCCCCCACCGCCTTCTCCTGCTTCTGGCAGACTCAGAGCCTGCGATGAGTCACAGCCTGCTTGGTGGAGAAGGCAGCAGCCACAGGTCCAAGAACTGGTTTGGGGCTGTTCCATTCTTGGCGTGACTTTCAGTGGACATACTTCTTTCCAAACCTCTTGGGGAACCTCGCCCGGCAGGGAGGAAGCAGGGAATTAGCCTGGAACCCTTGCACAGCTGCAAGGCATCCAGAAGACACACATTCGCACAGGCTCTCTGGACCCCGATCACTCTGCCCCCAGGGGGAGGCAAGCCGTCTGGGCAGAATTGAATAAAATAGTTAGCTTGTGGATCCAGTTGCTTGTGGACAACACGCCAGCATGACAAAATGCAGCCACTCCAGTGCCACACACACACACACACTGCTCAATCTCCACAGATGTCAGGTTGGCCTTAAGAGGCAGCGCACTGGCCCATAGCCCTGAGAGGCCGGAGGAAGGGCACATTCATCAGCATAGATGGCTCCAGGTGGCCCATGGGAACTATCCCAGCCGACTGATGTAGGACCAGGGACAGCTCCAAAAATTTCCCATCAGCCGAGATAATCGGCCTAGTTCTGAACCAAACAGTCCACCAGGAACCCCCCCCCCCACTTTTCCCATCCAGGCAAAGGAATCCGGGTGGATTTTAGCCCACTACTCATTGCTGATTCTAGGGGGGGGGGCTGCTCAGCTGTTTCAAGGCCAGAGCCAGTGCTGTCCGAAGGCGTTTCCTTGGCCATGTGGCCAGAGTGATGCCACAGAGGGCCGTTTCCTTTCCCCTGACACCCAGCAGTACTTTAGATATGGATATGAAGGTCATCCTATACTGACCAGCAGGGCAGAGGAGACCAGAGCCTCTCCAGGCCATCAGTTCTTCTTCTTCTTCCTCCTCCTCCTCCTCCTCCTCCTCCCACTCAGCCCAAGTCTGCTTTCCAGC